CACCTCCTTTCACTGGTGACCACACAGCTCCTTTGGGGGAGGCGGGGAGGAGAGTGCCGTTGCATCACCATGGCAACAGCAGGCAGCCTGTGTCAGCAGGGGGCTCGCTGACACTGAACCTGTTCTCTTTGGTTCCCACGGCTGCCTGCAGGGGATCTAAGATCTAAGTGGCACACCAACCTCCCCCTTTCAGCTCAGGGCTCTCAGAAGTCTGAACCTCCCCTTTGCCCCTTCTACACCCCACCTCCCATCCCCGACCCTGCCCTCAAGGCAACATTCAGTGAATAACATGGTAGCAGAACCAGGAAGTCCCAGCTCTTTGCAAGAGACTGGGGAACCTTGGCCTCTCCAACCCCGGGCAGAAGGCACACCGCCCTCCCCCATCCCCCTGACCCCACAATAATAAACAATAATAAACCTGGCCAGTGGGGGCCAGAATGGGCACAGCTTGTCCGGGGCCCAGGGTTCAGGCCTCCTCCCAGCATTCCACCTGCCCTCCCTGCACCTGGAGGCGGGAGTAATGCCGTCAGCACAGCACTCACAGCAAGGTCACTCCTGGCCAGTCACCCAGCGGTGGGCAGCCACCCCCTGGAACTGGCTCCTGTGCCCTGGAGGCTGAGACTGATGGGCAGTCCCTCTCACGGTGTGTGGTCTCGAGAGCCTCCTCTTCTGAGTACATCACTCCCCCAGTGCTGCCCGCCACCCTTAGCCGACCCCTCTGGCTCCTGCCCGTCGCTCAGAGATAATAGGGGGCCATCAGCGGCCCCTTGTTCATAAAGAGGGCCCAGCCCACCCTCAGTCACTTCTCTGCCCCCGCTTGGCTCCCATGCCAGCTCCCTCCTTTGGCCGTTATCTGAGGGATTCGGGCCTCTGGACCAGGGGCCAGGTGGGGTCTGCAGTGCCGTGTCCCACCCTGTCTCCACTGGCTGCTCTGTGTCTCCAGCGGGCAGACCTCTGACCCCCTGTTTAGATTTGGCATCTGGGTGGGAGCCAGGGCCTGAAAATACTCCCTGTGTGTTTAGATGATTCTTGGAAAATAAACTTCCCCAATCTTGGCTCTTGGTTTGCACACTTGCTGGCCCTGCTTCCTGTGGCTCAGATCTGACCGTGCAGGGGCGGGAGGGAGGAGTGTAGGAGGGGCAAGAGTATAAGGGTGTATAGGGGCTGAGGGTCATGGGTGGCGGGGTGGTGCGTGCACATAGACACCTGGACCTGTAAAAGCAGCAGTCACCAAGACCACACGGTGACTGGTACCTGTGTGGCGTGACCCTGAGGTTATGTGGTTATGTGTGGGCTCTGGGTGGGCAGACGTAGGGAAGCCGATGGCCTTGTTCAAAGAGAGGGCCCAGGGGTACGGTGGGGTCTGCAGTGCCGTGTCCCACCCTGAATGTGGAGGCACGGCTTCCCTGCAGAATGGGCTGAGCGTGGCCTCTGCACCACGCGGGGCCTAGCTGCCCGTGACCTTGGGAGGAAGGCCAGGCCTATCTCCATGGGTGGGGTGCCGCTCCTGCACCTTGCAGGACACACTTCAAGCCGGCTCTGTTTGTTTATCCGAGAAGGGACAAAGGCATTATCTCCTTTAGAGACCAAGGACTTGTCCCGGGGCCCAGGCGCCTGCCTGGGGAGGGGCTTCCTTTCGGGGGGAGCTACAGGACAGAGGGAGTTACAGGCTAGTTCCTTCCTCAGCGGCCTGGCCCAGCTCAGAGCAGACACGCAGGAGGCTCTCCATAGTCCAAGTGCTGGCTTCTGCAAGGCCTGGGCCGACAGGAAGAGGGACGGGGGACAGGGAAGGGATCTGAGTACATTTTGGAACAAGATTTAGTCTTTCAACAAACACTGTTATTTCCTCTGTACCGGGGACTGAGGATTCAGGGGGGGAAATCCCAACCTGTGCCCTTCCTCCAAGAGTCCTGACCAAAGGGCAGACACGGGGCACGGCGCTACCAGGTCTTTGGAATCCAGGCTGTGAGAGAGGCACAGGCACTCCTGGAGCAGGGGCCCCTGAGCCCACAGATCTGGGTTTGAGTCCTCGCCCACTGCTGACTAGCTGGGGAGGTGCTTTGGTAATTTAATTCACCCGAACCTCAGTTTTCTCATCTGTAAAGTGGGGACGATGATGGCGTTTACCTCATGATGTTGCTGTAAAGATGAAACAAGAAGCCTGGCCAACGGGATGTGTCCAATAATTTATAGTTATCATTACGATTCATTTTGAAGGATAGGTAGGGGAAACTGGCCCCTTTCAGGGATGGCCGGGAACCGTGGGTGGAGGTTGGCATTCCCAGGAGCGATACACTGGGTCACCTCTGAGGCGAGTAGCAGACGCCTGTCCTCCTATGCAAACGAGAAACTGCAAGACCCTCGTGGAACCCACCTCGCCTCTCAGACACTCCTCCAGCACGCTAACCCCATCCACAGAACGGTCCGCTGAGCTGGCCTCCCAGCCTGACCTTTGCCAGAGTTGCCTAAGGCCACTCAGGACAGCACAGGAGCCCAGGGGCCCAGCTGAGCTCACATCCCTAGCTAGACCCTATCAGCACAGGAGCCCAGGACAGCACAGGAGCCCAGGACTGCTCTGCACTCTCACATCCCTAGTCCCTGTCTTGGTGGGTGGGGTCAGGGTTGGAGTCGGGCTGAGACAACCCGGGGCCTGTCTGCATTCCTGCTGCGGGGACTGCTGGGCTGGGACCCGTCCCCTTTCTCCTTTCCTCCAGCCCTTCCCTGCCCCTGCCCAGCTGCTGCAGGATTCCCAGGATTCCCCCTGTGCCCTCTGATGCGTCCCCCTCTCTGTCACTGCTCTGCCCCTGGCTGGCTGCGGGTGGGCCTGTCCTGTCTGCCTTTGCGGCAGCCTTCCCCTGCCTAGCACAGGGTCTGCACCCACCTAGGGTTACCAGAAAAACTTCAATTTCAGATAAACAACAATTTTTTCCCCAAAAAATATGTTTTTATTGGTTTTAGAGGGAGGGAGGGAGGGAGAGAGAGAGAGAGAGAGAAGCGTTGATGTGAGAAACATTGATTGGTTGCCTCCCGGACCCACCCCGACGGGGAATCTAACCTTGACCTTACGGTGCACAGGATGACACTCAACCAACTGACCCACGATGGGCTGGGGCTGAACAACACATTTTTTCTTAGTGTAAGTATATCCCCAAAATTGCATGGTGCATATTTACACTAAAACATTACTTGTTTATCTGAAATTGAAATTCCACTGGGTGTCCTGTAATTGCATTTGCTAGGTTTGGTGACCTACCCCTATCCCACCTGCTTCAGGGAAACAGACCAAGAGAGAAGGGTGAACAAAAGCAGGGCCAAGACTGCACCACTCCCTCCTCTTGGCCATCCCCCGCTCCCTCCAGCTGACCACACCTTCCAGGAACTGATAGCAAACTGGGCACTGGGTTCTTCCCTTCTGGAATGGGCGATTCCTGTGGGGTGGGCAGCTCGGCACACCTCAGAGCGGTGTTGGAGCAGGCCTTCTGCTTGTAGATTTCCTACCGTTTTCCATCAACTTGGGAGAGGCCATTGCCAAGGAAATCTCTTATTCTTGCTCCCTG